ACACAGACAGATGGAAATAAGGGTAAAAGAGTGTCAGAGAACGACATATAAGAAGCACCTTAGCTTACTCCATATAGCTGCAGCAAAGGACCGAGGCCGATCCAGTGAGAACGCTGTGTGAAGATTATCTGAAGGATGCTGAGTTGTGGGCAAGTAGTGATCCCAGTCGAAAGTTCAACCTTCACCTCACGCTTTCCGGGCGAGTACGCTGTCCGTATGTGGACAATGAGATATGTATGTGGAAAAAGCAGGCTGTTTGAAACGTTGAGAACCAATTTTCTACAGAGATTCAGCATTGCCCAGCTACACTGTCTCATAGAGAGTTCTACAGTTGATATCGTAGCAACTAGTCGTGCGGTTTCAGGCGAGTCGACATGAGCCCACCCACAGCGCTTTCACCTTCAGATGTTATTAGATTAGGTTCTTCAGGTGTGATCTCTTCACAGGATAGAGAAGCCCGTACAGTGTTTTTGGTTCCTAGCATAAGCCTCAGCGAGGCCACCTCGCTCATAGACGACTAGGAGCCTATGATCCCACAAAGGGATGTCATTAGAATAGAAGGAGAGAGGGGCATAAAAGGCTCACTATACCCGGGCGGATGTCAACGTTTAGTTTTACCGCATTTTGAAAATGAGTTCCAAAACAAGCTTTTGCAAACTCAGCTCTTCAGAAAGAAGGCGATTGGGTTACTAAAAGAGTCTGCTGCAGCTAAGGCTTGCAAAAAGGACCCCGGAATGAAGCTCAGCGTTGGAGAAGATGAATTTGAGCAAAGGAACCATCGGCCAAAAAGCAGAACACTGTAGAACTGGAGAAGGTTTGGATACGTGACAGGGACATTTTCAAGGATGCCTGTTCTTCTAAGCCACGGTAAAGCACTGAAGTGAGTTCGCTTGACAACTTCAGCCGCCGGTTTGTTCATCAATTCAGACCGCGATAATCGGTTCATACACTCGGGAATCCCTTAGATGCGGTAGGCGTGGCTGCTGCTACTCGAGCCCTGAAGTGTGCCACGTTGTAGCTTGAGGCTGAGGTCCACTAAAGACGGATGAAAGGATAAAGAAAGAGTGGAAAAATACCAGGAGTAAAGAAGAGAGAAAAGCGAAGGTAGTGCCGATGAAGGAGATGGGAAGCGAAGTCACAATCATAGATACATTTAAAGGCAGTACCCACGTTCATTTGATGCCTCCACGCCCTCTCTGGATATCGTAACCCTCCCTATAAGGATGCAGGATGTTCCAGTTTTGCACCTCTAAAAGGCGAGAGGATAGCGCCGTCCGTTGGTGAAGAGTTGGCCGCTTCGCCCACAGGGCGCTCGACGTCAAACTTAAATTCCATCGGTTGCTGCTTGTTGAGGTTGTTCTCATACGTAGCACTCTGCTCCTTTTTGAATGTGTTGAGAGTGAAGTGATAAGGGAAAAAAGCTGATACATCAAGTATGAGAATTGGTGCGGCCTACGGCTCTTTCGCCTGCTGTAGTAGCAACCATCAGATTCGACTGGGCGGGTTGTTTGTAACCCCGTTATTTCTATCTGAGCCGCATAACTCATCAAATTTGAACGCGGGCTCAGTCTCTAAGGTTTAGTAAAGATGAACAAAATGTCGAAAAATTAGTGGAAAATGTTTCAGGAGTAAAAAACCGAGAAACTAGACAGGGCCAGTGGTCGTTGGCAGTAAGGAAGGAGGAGAGAAGAATAGCTCAAGGATAGACTGTATTTCCAGCTCTCAACAAGTAATGTCATTCCGTGAATTGTACCATGTTCTGGCACTAGCGCGCACTTACGCTGTCCGGTGACATTTCAGATATTGTCAGGGCGATATACTTCGGTCGTTCGCGTTTCTTGCGCGCTGCGTGGTCGACGTAGGCTCCGTACATACCCAGCAAAAGGCACGGTACTGAGGCGAACAAGAATATGTTCTGAAACGTCCGCCCAGAAGCTGAAAACCACGGCGAATAATTATTTGTAGACAAGAGCCGTGGCTATAGTATTTGAAGTTTATTCGATGTGTGATCACTAGGATGTGGACCGTTGTGGGGGGTGGGAGAGGGATTGTGAAAGGTAGCTTCGGAAGGCTTTCGTACTCTTCTAGGATGTACCAGATAAGGGACCAGAGACCAAGGAGGATAGGTTTCCGGCCTTTCTCTGACTGCACACTGATTTCCGGAGATAGAAAGGTAAAAGAAGGCCTCATGTTGGAAGCATCCGAGGAGCCGAACAGTTTAGGTGGCGCCTGATGGCATGGGCTGTGAAGAAAGCCTTCTGTGGTCTCATGGAACCTCTGCAGCGCCACCTCTTTTCGTGGAATTAGCAGACCATATCCTGCCGTCCCTCGGATGTTTCATCGTAAGACCTACCTCCACGACTTTTCTACGTGAATTGCGAATTATTCTGTCTTATTTCATCGTTGCAATTTCCGGTACTCTGCACTAAGTGGATTGCATAGGTGGGCTCGGAGAGCTGGGTAGCTGGAGGAGGGACACCTGATGCAGCTACCACTTTCAGGGTACAATCTTTGGCGCTTTGTCTCCTAAGGTGGATCGCTCTTACCACTGGTTCTGTTAGTGTGTATGCTGCGTCATGTCTGCTTGTCATGGTTTGGTCAGCGTCAGAACATGTCAGACTCCTACTAGAGAGCACGTCGTGCCTCTGGCTCATCAAATCAGGACCTGGCCAGCGCTAACTGGAGAGTGACCACTTCCGAAGCACATGGCACCGAATCCTGTGTATGCCAGTCACTTCTCCCGCAAATATAATCGTTCACGAAGATAATGTCACTGATAATGTCTTTGTTCATCGACTAGGTCATCACGTGGACGCTCTGTGCAGCTGGAAAATAGGAGGTTTGGGGCGTAAAATCGCAGAAAGGAATGTTTACCTATCGATAGGAAGAATCGGAAAGCCGGTCTGATTCATAGGTCTGTAAGGCCGCGTTCATACTTTGCAGCAGCGTCCGCCACCGTCTCCCAGCGTCTACCAACGTCCAGGAACGGAGATTACGGCGCGATAGGAGGGTAGCAGAAAGCTGGTAGAGGTGTAGGGTGTAAACGCGGCCACCGCAATACGATTTGTATGGACCATTTCAAGAGCTACGCCTTTTGGCAGAACTGAAAACAAGTGGCCTTTCAATGCTGGCTGCGTTCATACTTTGCGACGACGTCGATTGACGTGACCGACGTTTTCGGCTACTCCTTCCCCAAGTTGAAATATGTATTGATTCGACGTTAATCAAAGTAACCGACGTAAAGAGTGGCCGTGACCGACGTAATCGACGTCACCGACGTCAGTCCATACGTATCTAATCTTCTGTCGCCGGCTACGTCGATTACGTTGACACGTCGGGTCTACAATCCAGTCTTCGGAAGGTTGTCGCCGGTTACATCGGTTATGTAGACGTCGGCAACGTCGTTGCAAGCCATGAACGCAGTCTAATAGGGTAATCGTCAGGGTATGAGAAAACTCACACTCAGCGTGTCTCAAAGGTTCAGTCAACGATCGCTTGAAGCCGTCATAATCTCGAGATGCGCAGATCCATCCTCCACCAAAATTTCTCCGACTCACTCGCGTGACGCTTTTGTTGGCTGCCAGCACGAAGCGCTGTAGGTACGCCATTGCCTGGAAGACAGAGTGATATAGCAGTGCAAATTTTCTCGCCCCTTTTTGAATTTGCAGGTAGAGGTGTAACATTGCGCGATTCGCAGGCTTGACAAGTGAGCCTCTGCTCATAACTACCGAGAAATTTGGTATGAACTTCAGTATGGCATGCTGTAGTCAGAATTTTATAAGACCCAAACTGCTGCTCAAGCAAAGCATAAGCACTGCAGTATGGGTTGCTCACCTAATAACAACGCAAAACACCAACCTCGGAGGCTTGGAAGTAAGGAATGAACCATTCCCACACGTCGGGAGCATTACTCGAAGCTTACTGAAAAAGAGTGGATAAGATATGAGAGTACGCTGGCCTATAACGGCGTTTTCATCTATTTCGAAATTTCACGTGAAGTTGGAGAGTTCCTTTGAT